CTTAAGTTTCTTCGAGATACCTTTGATATATGTTCAACTAATACTACGAAGACTGGTTGGAATATAACCCATAATCCCAATTGTGAAAGAAATCAATTTCAATGTTAATAATAGAATAGATCAAATGTGAATGCAATTTTTAGTATCGATAATATAAAAATGTTATTTTATTAAAAAAAAAAAAAAGCCAAATAGTAATTTTTGTTGAGCACGTTAATGTCCTCAATGATCCCAATACTGCTTGCAAAATATTATGAATCTCAAAAAAAAATTCATTAAAGACGAAAAATAAAAAAATTGTTTGTTTTTATCCAATAAAAATAAAAAAATTTTCCAAATTATAGTCACCATTATTAAAGTTTATTACACACACAACTTGCGAATAAGTTATTTTAATTAAAATTTAATATACAAGATAATTTCGGTTGAAATTTTTTTTAAAAACTTTTTTTCTTAAAAATTATAACAAAGTCTGATAGTAATAAGAAATAAAAGCATGAAATTCTTTTGTTTTTTATAAATTCACATTTGCGTTAAAGCCAGAGCAGCAATGCAGGATAAATGTATACGGTACGAAATATATGATTGATAAGTTTCGTATATTCAAGTTTTGTAAATTCGTATTTTACCGTTCTGCTATTTAAAACCATGAAACTTGATACATTTTACTGCGTCATTCGTAAATTGAAAATTCAATATTGTTTAAAAATAAATTTTTATTAACCTTTTACATGATTTTTATATATGATGTATGATAATATAACAAAAGAAAATTTTTTAGTAAGTTAAGTGGATATTTGATCCAGCAATGTATTAATTTTTATTCATATATACGTTAAATAAACCTTTCTTACATCAACGACGAGGTAATTGTATCAATGAATACTTTTTAAATAAAAAAAAAATTCATAAGTTCTTTTTGGCCGAATAAAATTTATTTATACCTGGACTTTAATTACAGAAGAAATGAAAATTTCATTTGGAACCTGCAAATTTTATTAGCTTTGATGGGTGGCTGTGAGTATTTTGAATTAAGGAATCCGTTTGAAATTTAAATTAAAATTTAAGCGATATTTAATATCAACGATCATTTTTTTTTTAAAAAAATAGTTTCCAAACGGAAACTGGTTAAATATACAGTATAAATTTTTTATTTTATTTTATTTTATTTATCGAAATTATTTTCAATTAAAATATTATATATTCTTTAAATTTGTATTTGTATATATAATATATTATGTTTGAATGATATAATGAAAAATAATGAAATAACAATTCCTATGTTATGCCATATTAATAAAGTATTTTGAGTTTTAATAATTTTAAACCGACCAATTAAAAATAATTTCAACGGAGCCACCTTGCTGCGCCGCCATGCACCGTCTTAATTTATGAATGGGAAGTATAAGACAACCTTGAGGGCTTTAATGTCGTCTTGATGCCAAGATTGAGAAAGAGAAATGCAAAAGTTAAGTTCATTATGCAAGTCAAACTTAATGAGGTCAGGAAAAAATGACTTCACACAACATGACATGACGAAATAACGAATTGAGGGATCTCAGAAAAAAGCAATAACGTCAATTTTACAAAGAAATTTACTGCAAAAATTCCTTTACATTAAAAACAGATTTACATCGTTTTATTTTATTTTATTTTATTTTTTTTTTTGTAATACGAAAAAAAACAAAAACCAAATCAAGCTATTTTTTTCGGACCGAAACTCTATGATCGACATTTGTGTTAACTTGTTTCACAATAATAAAGTTATGTTGTGTGTCACTATTAATTTCGGATTTTTCCTTTTTAAACTTTTTGAAAGCCTTTGGTTTTAATTTTATTTGGACGCACAAATCATAAATAGTATAATGAAATTCCAGATTTAATTATGTAACCTTGACTCCCTTAATTTATTATAAATAGTTATGTTCAAGTTTTTTAACATGATAAATATCAATCCGACACTTCCTTCTTGATATTTTAAAATTTAGCAATGATGCAAGAAATCGGTGAAGAATTTGATCAACAAGAACCTTATACTCGCCGTCTAAGCAGTATCCTTGACAAAGGTTCTCAAATTCTTCGTGAAATTCATCAAAATTCTGATGATACGAAGAGCACTGAACAAATCTTCATGTTGGATCAATCAAGGTCCTGCCTTATTATCGAAGAATAATTCCATGTTTGATGAAAGGGATTTGCGATCCTTGAAAAAAATTGGCTAATAGCGAAAAACGTGATCAATTTAATAAAATTGGAGGTAAATTTTTCTTTAAAGTAATTTGATCTAATAAGTACTTTTCACTTTCATTTAAATATTCGAATAAAAATACAATTGTTATTTTAGTGATGGTTATTGGTTTTAATTCGATTTATCATATTACTGATTCCCCTTCTTTTTTTACTGGTGATAAACTCGTCATTCTTGATCCACATAGATGGTATTTTAATGGTAATTTCCAATTCAACTTTGTCCAAAAGAATTTAGCCGAAAAATTTCCTGATTCATTTGCTCCTTTTAGAATTCCTCCTTTTAGTATCCCATGTGATGAACCATTTCAAGGAACATTATTTCGTTATCCTCTCCGTAATGATACGATTTCTGATATTTCCAAAAAAACTTTTAAGCCTAAAGACATCTTGGAAATCTTTCGTAAATTTTATGAAAATGAAAGCATTAATTGCTTGTTATTTTTAAATAGGTTGAACGGATTTCTTTTTATGAATTGAAGGAAGATGCCTTAGAACCTGAATTATTATATTCTATTCAGTTGGAAAATGCAAACTCAGTGCGAGAACAATGTCGTTTATTAGCAGAAAACATCGTTCCGATGATGGATTTATTAAAATCGAAGAATCTATTGGTAGTAATAGTCAATTAGAATTGCATTATTCTGTCATCAGAAGGGGAGTTTTAAGGATGATACGGTTTCTTGGATAATTTTGAATTATCTTAATGACTTGCAAGAAACCGAGGAATACTTTCAAAAGAATTTTGGAAAGAATTTCAGGAACTACAAGTTTATTCCAAACGTTGGATTGGCCATTCCATTAAATGATTTAAATATTCTAGGAAGACTATTTTGCTTTTTATCATTTCCCATACATATGCCCTTACATAAATTAGTGTTCCGAAGGGGTCGAATCAGATCGGGTTTGAGGATGTACTCAGACTCGACCCGTTTATAAAAACCAACCCATACAAATACCCGGGTTAATATTTAATATAACCCGACACTGACCCGACCTGATATAGTTTAACCCCTGGACAAGATGATGCCTGACAAAAAACCCACAATTTATATTTGGAAAAATCCACTGATGAAACCAGGAAGTTTCGACAGGCATTGAAAGCAAGTATAGTTTCCGAGGGTATAGTTAGTGATATTAAATCTCAGGAAGTATTTGTCATCTTCCTCTCCTCGCATATACCCTACTTTTAAAATGAATGATAATCACTCCCAAAAACATCTCAAAAAAATAGAATTTTTATGTAAATAAAAATTAAATAGAAAAAATAGACAAACCATATATTCTTATTTACTACTTTAAATATATATATAAAGGATCTATTTGAAATAATAAAATTATTCTTACTTTTTTTGAATTATATGTTTTTATTATTTCATTATTAAATATAGAAATAATATTTTGTTCTTCTTCATTTTTAATTTTCTTTGTATTTCTTGAATTTTTTTATATTGTTTTCTTTTAGCTGATTTTGAAATAATTGATTCATTTGATAATGACATTTTTGAATTATATAAAAACTTTTTAAAAGAATATGTAAAAAAAAAATATTTTTCAAAAAAAAAAAAAATAAAAGTAGTGAAACTAAAGTGAAATATTTAAATTTGATTTGTATTACAAATATTGTAGATCAAACATTAAAAAAAAAGATTAAAAAGTAAAAATTTTTCAAAATTTAACATTAATGTTAAAAAAATCAAAATAAAATTTTTAACCTGAATAACTTATTTTAAAGCTGAAAATATAAAAGAATTTATCTATTAAAATATCAAATTATAAACTTTAACTTGATTTCATTAGCATTGGTTTTTTGATTAATTCAATTTAAATTCATTAGAATTGAATTTGAAAAAAGTATCTAAAAGGAAAAGAAAATTCATTAAATAACTAAAAAAAATTAAAATCATAATAATTAAAAAATAAATAAAAATTTACTCAACAATCTGATTTATAATTATATACCTAAAAAAAAAAATAAAAAAATAAAAAAAGCATTTAATAAATCATAAAATTTATTTAGTAATCAAAAAAAAATAAATTCATTATAATAATAATAATAAAAAAAAAGTCAATAACTTAATGATTCTAAGAAAATAAATAAAAAAAAATTGTTTTAATAGTTAGAAAAAAAAGAGATCTTTAGTAATAAAATAAAAAAATAAAAAAAAACTCTATTTTAATGATTTAAATAGTAAAAAAATTAAAAAAAAAAAATTAGTAATAATAAAAAATAAAAAAGAGAACAAAAAAAGCTACTTTTCACTAACCTGAATAAATTATCTAAAAGAAAAGAAATTTGTTAATTAATCAATATTTAAAATAATTTTTTAATGCTAGAAAAAAAAAATAAAAATGTAAAAAAAGATTATCATTATTAATTAAATCAATTTAATTAAAATAAAAACCAGTTTTTTTAGATAAATTTATTTCTAATTAAAATTTGTAAACTTTGAGAAGCATTGCTTTAGATATTAAGAATTGAAATATTAGTTTATAAAATAGTTTAAAATATTGAAAATTTGTTTGAAAACTGATATTAGTAATTTTTTTAGAATTTAGAATTTTGAAATTTTTTGAAATAATGATAGAATTTTTACAAACATATATAATACTATAATTCTTTGAATAATAAATCACTAAAACACACTATTTGGATAAGTAAATACAACTCTTGCTAACTCATTTTCTAGGAAATTTACTAATTTGTTTAAAAATACAAAGTTCTACTATCTGTGATGAAATGTAAACGTAAATATCTCAACATTTACTAGTTTGATACCTATCATATTTGATATGCAGATTTAATAGGTTTTGATCTTTTAGATAAGTATAAAAATATCCAAATTCAATCACACGATCCAGAGATATTTAAGAAAAATAAAAAGCAATTATTTTAAGATTCATCACAGAAGTATCTCAAGCAGGTGTGAATACTAAAACTGTAGCAAAAAGAACTGTCCAAAATGTAGTAATATTTAACACTAATTTCACTATTTGGAAACCTAAAGAAGTGAGAAATCTGTATGTTAATATGTAAGAAAATAGAGTTACTTATGAGTGTTCACAATCAATTATTTAAGCTGCAAATTCTTAAAATCCTTAAAGTGAAGTGATCATGTGATCTAAAGATCATAAAAATACTAATTTAATGATGACCAAATTCAGTCCTATGAGAGCTTCAAAACAAGCTAAAATCCATCAAAATTGGATCACAGAATGCTAAATTAGCTTTGAGAGTTGGTAAAAAAAATACAAAATTCTGATATGCTGTGATGAACTTTGAATATGAATATCTTAATATCTACTAAACTGGCTCCTATCATATTTGATATGCAGATGTGGTAGGTTTTGATCTTTCAGATAAGTATAAAAATATCCAAATCCAATTATACGATCTAGAGATATTTGAGAAAATTGAAAAGACATTATTTTGAGGTTTATTAAAAAAGAATTTCAAGCAGGTGTGAATATCAGAATTGAAGCAAAAGGAACTATCTGAAAAGTAATAATTTTAAACACTAATTTCATTATCTGAAACCTAAAGGAAGTGAAAAAACTATATGGAGACCTGAACAGCAAAAGTTAGGGTTCAGATAAATCACGTGATTTTGAGATTTCATAATAATCATATGCCTATAGGTCTAGCTATTCAGAGAATATGTTTTTTTACCCATAATATATTAGTAATAAAGGTGTAAATTTTAACATTTTTTGCAGCCAATTATTTTAAAAATTTTTGCATTTTTCGTTTATAAATAACATGGAACACATATTTATTTTAATAATGATAGCGTAAACGAAAATATTTTGTTCGCTTTAGAAGAGTTAGACAATACATTTTTTATTGAAAATTCAAGTTCTAATAGTGAAAAAAGTGTATCAGATAATGAAATTATTTCTAATTCTAATAATATTGAGAATGTCAAAGATGTCGAAAAATATTTATTGAAAATTTTAATGAAATGTACTTGAGTAACTTTGAATTTATAGAAAATTCAGATAATTTTATTGAAAATGAAGTTTATGATAATTTGAAGTTAAAAGTACAATAAATTTTTAATAATAATAAATGTTTGTGTAATTCTAATTGTTTTGAGAAAATTGGTTATGAACAGTTTTTTATATGTCAGATAGAATTTGAAGGGTTAAACAAAAATATGCAGAATATGATTATCAAAGGACAACTTATAGCCTTTCAGCAAGATGAAAATACAAGAAAAAGAACTGCTAATAATAGAAAATTTTTACGTTTCAAATATTGTTATAATAATAATACTCTAATTTGTCGTATCACATATTAGACTCTTGTTGGAGTTGATCATATATATTTGGACTAATAAATATGAAACGGGTTGACATAAATTATGGTATTGCATGTGAAGTTTATAATTTTTTAAAAAATTATGCCGATATATATGGTTTACCTTCGCCTGGATAAAATTTTAATAAAATATCAATGCCAGTTGTATTTCTTCCAACAAATTGTAGTTATATATCAGTATATCATGAATATATGCAGGCTTGTAAAGATAAATATGGAGAAAATGTTTATGTTATAGTTGAAAAAACTTTTTGTAATATCTGAAAAATGCTAATGTCATCACTTCAGTTTATGTCTCCAAATCTGATTTATGTGAAATCTGTAAAATAATGAAATTAGACATTTAGTATGCTATTGATTATGAAAAAAAATTGGCAGTTACTGAAAACTATTTAACCCATTTGAATCGTGCAAAAGAAGAATGTGATTATTATAATATTAATATTAAGAATGCAGTTGAGAATGGAAAACACAATCCAAATATAACTGGATCTCAAATTTTATTTAAATCTTTTGAAGGTAACACTCATATTACATATGATTGGACTCAGAATTTACTAGTTCTTTATTCACCACAACAAATAGGATTTTTATTTTTTAAAAATCCCTGGAAAGTACATTTGTTTAGAATTTGCAATACTAGAAACTTTCCACATACAGAACAGACCAATTTTGTAATTGATGAAGGTGAAATACCAGATGATAGTAAACAAGGAAAAGGAGTAAATTGTACATTAAGCTTAGTTTAGCATGCTATTCAGAAATATAATCATAGAGAAAAAATTAGTTATCACTTGTGATAACTGTGTAGGTTAAAACAAAAATAATTTTCTTTATTTTTTTATTTATGATTAATTGATCGTAAATTATATGAAGAAGGAATTGAACTTTATGATACCTAAACATACGAAATTTATTTGTGATAGTTGTTTTGGTCTAATTAAGATTCTATATCAGAAAAGTAAAGTAAATACCATAAATAATGTAGTTTCCATTATTAATCATTCTACTACAGTTCATCTTAATACTTTTCAATGCTATTTAAATGAGAAGGTTTTCAATATTATGATTTTAAAAATTACTTTTAAATATTTAAAAAATTACCTAACATTCAAAAATATCATCATTTTTATTTTACTTTACAACACCTCAGAATCGTTTTTTATAAAAATAGGCTTGAAGATAATTATAAAGAAGTCACAATCTGTAACTTTTCTTTTGATTTCAATATTTTGCCTTCTATAATTAGTATTAGATTGCTTCTCTTGAAAAGACAAAAAGAATTATATAAAGAAATTGCTCCTTACGTTG